CACAGATGTCAATATTAATTTGTTTTTTTATTTTGTTTTTTTACAAATATTACCTGTGAAAGGACAATTCAAGACGGGTCCAGGATGACCGTTGATTGTATGCGCATCGGAAACGGTGGGAGCGAGGCCGGATTTTAGAGCCTGGTTTATGACAGCTTCAGTGTCGGATTTACACTATTCACCTACAAAATCAAGAAACATTAATTAAATTTTAAAACACTTGATTTAAAAAAAAAAGTACTAGTGCAAAATTATCAGTTAATTTTTATTAGGTCATACCTAAAACGACGACGGATTCGTGGTCGGGTTTACGGAAAGGATAGGGGACGCCGAGCTTAGGTAAGATGACGAGGGCACCATGGGCGGTGGATCTCAACCATAGGATGTGCGCATGCCAGAAGAGTGTGCCCCGGTCCTTTGCCCCGTGATGGTGAAATTGTATACGTAGTTGTGTCCGGGTTGTATAGGGCACTGCATTATATATGCTGGCCCATCTGACCACCCGGCTCGGAGTTGTCTAACACCATGCCTATATTAATTTTAAAAAAATAAAAATTATTTTCGATTTTAACTTACTTTTAGTACTTTTCGGATTTAATTAGATTAAATAGTTGATTTTTTTTAACCAATGGATTGAGACGTTGTATTTGACTCGATTGATGACCCGGATGAGGACTGTATCGCCTTCCCTAGCGTAGATAGTGGGCCCCGAGAATTTTCCGTTCACGGTGACGATTGATTTGTTCGAGCACGCATGGGTGGTGTTTTTCATCACCACCTTCACATTGTAGCAATATCTCCATAATTAGTAATTTGGAGTTGTGTCCATGTTTTTTTAGTTATAATAATTGTAGGTACTAATTGGAATATTTAATCAACAACTGCATGAGTGATATGCTGAATATATCTTCATATATAAAAGAAAGGTTTTCCGCGAACCCTATAAACAATTTTGTAAAATATTGTAACTTTGACATACGAGAGATGGTGTATGTTCCGGTTTGGGTGATGCTTCGCAACATATCCGAAGAATTGTACAACGAGAAGTCCCTGAGTATTATTGGCCAGAAGATCGGTCGCCCGGTTCAAATGGACAAGAATACAAAGGAGGTGGCCAGCTTTGGCTATGCACGGATTCAGGTGGAGGTGGATGCTTCGAAACCTCTACGGAAATCGTTGACATTGATCAACTCGTTGAACCAATCTTACGAGGTTCAAATTGAGTATGGTTATGTTCCGGCCTATTGCACTAAGTGCAAGACGATGTCTCACACATCGGGAAAGTGTAGGGCGGTTGAATTGAAGAAAAGACGCCGGATCCGGAAATAGGCAGCACCCCCTGCCCCCTCGGAGGATGCTACGACCGTGACTCCACTTGAGCAACCGAATAAAGGGGAGGATGCCACTGTTCCATGGACGGGCACCCGCACGGTATTTGAGGATTTGAGTGATAGTGATGTTTTAGACGAAGACATTAGGGAGGAGGATGTGGTCGAAGACGATGACTCCACGGATTGCTATGAAACGCCTGTGCGTATGGGGGAGGAGCTACCGAAATTCAACAATCTAAATACTCCTGAGGCTTCGACTCCGGGTAAGCAACCATTTATTACGCGCAATTAGAAGGAGCTCCCGGCTAATGCTATCCTTGTGCCAAAAATTAGGGATGACGCATTCCCAGTGCGAGTGGAAGGGGCGAAGACGCCCACCAGTGCAACCGATGAAAATACGCTATTGCCGCGGAGGGGCATGGTTCCTCCTATAGTTAAACAATGATTGTCGCCTGCTGGAACGTGAGGGGATTAAACAATGCCCTCACGCAAAACGAGGTCGCCAACCTCATTAGGAGACATAAGGTGGATGTATGCGGTTTATTGGAGACGAAAGTATGGGATCCGGGGGTGTTGGAAGGGATAATGTCTCGGAAATTCCGGCACTGGGGTCAAGTGAACAATTTCCAACTTCATAGGGCGGGCCGTATTCTATTGATATGGAATCCGACAGTGGTTCAGGTGGAGACGATGGGAATGACGGACCAAATCATTCATTGCAAAATCTTTTGTCTTGTGTCGCAACGGCAAATTCAGGTGAGCTCTATATATGGATGGTTTACAATTACTTCTCGCAGGCCGTTGTGGACGTTGCTTGCAAACTACAGTCAATCTTCTACTTTACCGTGGCTATGCTTAGGGGATTTCAACACGGTTCGACGACCGATTGAAAAATCGGGTGGCAATGTTGTGACCCCTTATATGGTTAATGATATCCAAGAGTGTTGTCGGGCAACCGGATTGGATGACTTAACCTCTACAAGATTTTACTATACTTGGTCAAATCATACTGTGTGGAGCAAGCTTGACCGAGCTATGGTGAATCCGGTTTGGCTGCAAACGTATGGCAACAGCTCGGCTACTTTCTTACCGTTCGGGAAGCACTCGGACCACTCGCCGATCTTAGTAAAGATGGGGGTGGATGGGGAGCAAGTCTCTCGCCCATTCCGATTCTTCAATATGTGGACGATGCATGGGGATTTTACAACAATTGTTCAAGACGTATGGACAGCGGATCGTCAAGGAAGCCGTCAATGGGCGGTGATAAAAAATCTTAAGGCATCCGAACGAATTTGGTCACATTTCGGAACAAGCTAAACGGACATCTCATGATCTTGAGGAGAGCCAACAACAGCTGCATGACGATCAGCATAATGCAGCCCTGCAACAAGAAGTACTTAGTCGATCGGAGAAGGCGAAGTTTCTCACAAAGGCGGAACGAAGCTTCTACTACCAAAAGGCGAAGCTACATTATTTGAAGAACATCGATCGGCCGACGAAATTGTTTCATGGCATGGCTAAACGTAATGCTCAACGAAACCACGTGGCATCTATTCGTCGTGCGGACGGGACGATGACCACCTCACGTGAGGAAGTCCATGCAGAATTTTTGAAGTTCTACATGGAATTCTTAGGAACACGTCAGCCTAGGGGTGGTAAACGAGCCGAGCCGGCTCGTGAGCTCGACGAACCGGCTCGTAAAAAGCTCGAACTCGGACTCGAGGTTTTCGAGCTCGAGCTCGAGCTCGCGAGCTCGAGCTTTCTGACGAGCCGAGCTCGAGCCCGATTTTAGTTGTTCATCAGCTCGCGAGCCGGCTCGCGAGCCGGATTTATTAATATTTTTTATTTTTTTATTTTTTTTATTTTTTATATGTTATTTTTATTTAAAAATGTATAATAATATAAAATATTATAGAAATAAATACAAATATTAAAAAAATATATAATCACAATTTTGTGTTTATTTTGTAATTTTTTAAAATATTTTTTAATAATAAAATAATATTTAAAAAAAGAAAAAAAAAAAAAAAAAAAAAAGGGATTGGGCTCGAGCTCGAGCTCGAGCTCGAGCTCGAGCTCGACAAAATTAACACGAGCCCGAGTTCGAGCCAGAAAAAGAAGAACTCGACGAGCTCGAGCTCGACAAAATAAACTCGAGCTCGAGCTCGAGCCATCCAAAAGAGGCGAGCTCGGCTCGTTCACACCCCTACGTCAGCCTTGTGATGCTATTGACTTGGAGGTTCTACATTCCGGGCCAAGGATTCAAGAGGATGATAGTGCTCCGGCACCGGACGGTTTTTCCGCCCACTTTTTCAAACAATCATGGGACATGGTTGGGCCACTCTTGACGGAAGCAGTGCATGATTTTTTTCGGAGTGGCTCTTTGCTGAAGCAATGGGATAACACGGTACTTGTTTTTATTCCAAAGAAAGTACAAGCTCAAGAAGTGGGGGATTTTCGACCAATAGCTTGCTGCAATGTGATCTATAAGGTCATTGCAAAAGTCCTCACCACCCGTTTAGGCAGCGTTCTACCAAAGATTATTGATAAAGCACAATCAGCTTTTGTGGGGGGGAGATCGATCACGGACAATATACACTTGGTGGAACATCTTATTCCGCATTACGAGAGGAAGCGTATTTCGCCTAGGTGCTTGTTGAAGATGGACTTACGCAAAGCATATGACTCGGTTAACTGGGAATTTCTCCAAGCTATGTTGGAGGGCTTGGGTTTCCTAGTTAAATTCACGGGATGGATTATGCAATGCGTAACTTCTGTATCTTATTCGATCTCGGTTAACGGTGAAACGAAGGGATTTTTTCCAGCAATGCGTGGATTGAGGCAAAGAGATCCCTTATCGCCCTATTTGTTCGTTATATGCATGGAGTATCTTTCCCGACTACTTCATGTACGTCCGATTGAACAAGAACTCAACTACCATCCGATGTTCCATCTCCACAAGATAACACATCTGATCTTTGAGGACTATCTAATGGTATTTTCTCGAGGAGATGTGGCATCGGTCCGTATCCTCGCAAAGACGGTCTACGAATTTGGGCAGGTTTCGGGGCTCAAGGCAAATCATGCGAAGTCTAATATCTTCTTAGCGGGAGTTAAACCGGGGGACCGATTAGAGATCGAAAACGAGTTTCACTTTGCCAATGGAGAGTTTCCGTTTCGATACCTTGGGATTCCACTCATTGCATCTAAGTTACGAGTGCTCAACCATCAACCATTGCTCGATGAAATCGAGCAAGCCATAGGAGCGTGGACTCGCCAAACACTCTCTTATGCCGGACGGTTGGAGATTTTGAAAACCGTGGTTCAAGGTACGTGCTGCTACTGGTTATCCATATTTTCGATCCTACACGCAGTTATCGATCGTATAGAGACAATATGCAAAACGTTTTTATGGGGTGCGGCGACCCCAAGAGTAACGTGGCCGAAGTTGTACAAACCAAAGGAAGAAGGGGGTTTGGGTCTTCTTGATTTGACTGATTAGAATCGAAGCTTTCTTGTGAAAAATTTGTGGGATTTTCACTTGAAGAAAACTCTATGTGGATACAGTGGGTGAATGAGTTCTATCTCAAGGGACGAACCATATGGGAGTGGTCACCGTCACCTACAGCTTCACCCTTCTTCAAGAGCATTATCCGGATCCGGAATGAAATGGTAGAGAGCGCGGGGACTACTCAGTTACTTATTGCTAAGCTGGAATCTTTTACGGAGCTTGGCAAATTAAATGTGAGCAAAGTATACGACTGGATTAGGGCTAAGGCCCCGATCAAACCGTGGGGTAAACTTCTTTGGGCGCCATCTATGACTCCAAAGCACTCGTTTATCTTATGGATGGCAACCATGGATCGATTGGCCACAATGGACCGAGTGGAGAAACGATCACGTGAAGCCGTCAACTCCAAATGCGTCTTATGTGGTGTGGAGAAAGAGACTAAGAAGCACCTCTTTTTCGCATGCAACATGTCTTGAGAGGTGTGGACCAACATACAGATATGGTTGGGTATCCGCCGAAGACCAACCACATTGGATGCCGCACTCAAATGGCTCAAGAAGGACGTACGAGGGAAGTCGTACCGTAGCAAGACGCAGCGATGTGCACTAGCAAGTCTCGTGTACCACATTTGGGAGGCTCGGAATAAGTGGAAATTTGAGAAAATTGGAACTAATTCGAAGGACCTCACAAGGAAGATTCAGCTACATGTTTACTCAGCTATGTTCGGCCAGCACCCGGAGCTAGCGATTTCAAGGACGAACGGACAACCGGACAGCTTTATGCACCCATGAGGGCGTGATCTAGATGCTAGGTTCTAGTGGGTTTTCCCACTTTTATTTATGCTATTATGTTAGTTTATTTCTTTTTGCTTTCTGCATTAGGTTCTGCAATTTCCTCGGGTATACCCGTTGTAATTGTCTACGACTTTTTTGATTTATAGTATTTACATTTTAATAAATAAAAAAAACGAAAAATTGAAACCCAAACTACTCTCAACTTCATCAGGCAATACCCTCTAGAAAAAAACCCACTCTCCCACGTTATCATGATCTTTGAACACGATCTGCTATTTCAAAACCGACGGAAGTTCCGAAGTAATATATATTCTTTGTTTTTCTTATCCATCGACAAATTTGATTTATTTAGTTAAATTTCCTTTTTCTTCCCTTTTAATTGCTCAAGGTTTATTTCTTCAAGAAGACCTTTTTCATTTCTTTTTCGAGGTTATGTATTTTGTTTTTAGAACTTGATTTTTTCTAATATTTTCCTTCTATGATCTACAAATGTACTTATACTAGCTATAGCACCATCTCTTCAAGAAAGCTTCTTTTAGTGACGCTGCTTTCTAAAAAAATAATTATTCCGATTACGTTTTTTATTTTCTTTCTTCTCATCTTTTCACCTCTTATTTTTTCTTATCTTCATTTTCTCCTAGCACATGAAGAATCAGTGTTTCACTCTAATATATGCGTTTATTTTCAAGAAAACACAATCATGGCATTTTTGTGATGGTGATGAGTTCGGCTGCTTTTATGGTTGTACAGAGTGGCAAGATTCCGTTTTTATTTGAAGTTTTCATCTAGGTGCTAATATTCTGAATGCTCACTTTTCCTGGAATTCAAGAACCAAATGGTTTCTGATGTATAAATTCAGAGGGAACATAACTTCGACATAGAATTGATGGTGAGTATTTTAAATTCGTCAGTTTTAAACTTTAACCATGTTTTTTCCCCCCGATATTTAACAATAGTGTACTGAGAATCGTGGTGTATTGAGAATTAAATTTGGTTGAAATGACACATACTTTGAACTTATTTTGTTTCTTTTACCGTGTTTTAGAATAATTCTTAAGGTTGTTTCAAAAACAGGGATTTGTTATCTTTAATCCTTTACCAACACCCCTAATCGAGATTCTTTTTTAATTTTTTTTTTTCTAATAAAAATTCTCTTTTTATCTTTTTATGTGCAGTGGATAGTAATAATTGTGTGAGTGAGGCCAAAATTACTTTCAAGCTACTTTGAAAGGTATCGAACGAGATTTTGAAGGTAAATTATTTATATTCAATTTGGATTATCTTGATTATATATTTTTGGTTGATAAAACATGATATCGACCAGCAAATACAAGAAACCCGCATTTATGGCCTCTTCTTTTATCCAATTAGTCACCCTTTACTTCTTTTCAACAAAATTTGATTGGAGTATTAAATTGTGAAATTATAAACATATATATTATTCTCAAGTAGTGAACAGAGGGTGTCATATGGTATAGTTAATTTGGTGTTATTACCATCTTATGAGACACTATAGATGAAATATTTGTTTACAAGTAGAACATAAGGTGAAACGGAGGATAATGTCTGGTGTTGGTGTTGTCTTAGGGGTATTAACGATATTTAGAAAAAAAAAAATTGGTTCGTAGATATCCTAAAAAACAAAAATAATTATAATTGTATATCGATCATGATTAAAAGTTATGTTCAAATCTTCAAGGATAGAGGTTCATAACTTTCCGTTGATTTTTTTTTTCAATTTGTGTTCTGAAATGATTAGAGGACAATCATCCACAGGTCGAGTATGTTTTGTATAGCTTAATTTGTGAAGCTGCTATGAATTATTAGTCTTGCGTGATTATGTAATTGAGATGTTATCTTCACCACATGAAACTCTAAATTATTACTTTTTTTTTTTCCTTTGCTAATATGTTTCAGATGTCGGAGCATTTTAAGCAGAAATTATCGTTGACTTTTGAGCCGTTCAATGCAATGTTTTATCTTCAAGATGGGTGGAAACGATTCATCTACCACCAAAATGCTCGCTTTTGATGGTTGGTTAAGTTTGTATTGGATTTAGTTGGAGAAACTGAGAAATAGCTATTATTTGATAAAGTGAAATAAGAAGTTCGATCTACCTGGGATCCTGTTGCTCTTGCTTCATTAGATGATTAGCTCCAACCGAATGGTTTCTGTTTTTTTAACAATCCAAATAGTAGTTGGCGGCATATATTTCGAGTCTTCATCGTTTAGTTTTGATGTTGCTGATACCTTAACCTATTGTTGAAGAATTATATGGTACCCATGTCATCGTTGGAGTTTATATGGGAGGTAAAGATGTAATTCATATGAGTATCATCATCGATTACAATCGCGTTTTTGGACGAAATAGTTTCGTAGCATCCGTATGCATTGTTGCCAAACAAGACAAAAGAGGGATGGGATCCAAGTGCTTTCTTTGTTTTTGTTGAAGACTTTCGGAAACAATACAAGGGAAAGCACCCCAACAACATATTTGCTACCCAACTATGAATTCTTATACTTTTTTGCATAAGAAGATTTTTATTTTCTAACATTTGGTCTTAATATTCTTTTCCAATATGCCCTTTTTCACATCATGTACGTGAATCATTATTTTTCTCATTTTTTAAATGTCATCCCGGGAATAAATACTAGTTTGGAATAAGAACAGGGCACAAGACAAAATAACATCCAGATCCACCTAATCTACCAATGCCATTAATTAATCCCTAATTAATTATAAATCAGCTTATTATCATTTTTATTATGGTGGAATAGTTTTACCCAATTTTCAGTATATATAAGAAAATAGAAAATAAATTGTGGGATGATGGTATATATCTATATATAATATAAAAAGAGAATCTATGCCCTCTATGAATGACATGTGGCAAATGTCTATGTCATTTATCAAAATTGCTTAGTTGTCATTAAATTGATGAGGTGGCTTCCTCAATTGATTAGTTGTCATTTTTAATTTGGTATGTATATAAGTTATTTCCTATTTAACATTTGCACACTCATTTAAACATTTACCACATGTATATATATTATTTCCAAATGTAATTATCTATAAATTCGAAAAAAATATTGAATTTATATTTTCAATATTTCAAAATATATTTATTGAAAAAATAAAGGATCCTCAATTTTTTTCCAATATTCTAATAATTTTCAGAATTTTTTTTTTAATATTAAACTATTAAAATAAAGAAATACAGTTTTTTTTTTCAATATTTTGGAAGATTCGAATATCCATTCAATAAAAACGAATTATTAACAAATTTTTTTACATTGTATTGTTTAATAAATATACAATATTTTTTGTTAATAATAATTTGAAATTGCGCATTTCTATTATACGTTCAAAAAATTATACCGGATTAATTTATAATTTATTTTATTTATACATTATTATATTTTAATATATTTTATTAATTTGAAATTTCAGAATCCGAAATAATACTTAAACTATATTTGAATTTTGAAATTATAAAATTTCGGGCTTCAAATTTTGAACTTACAATTTTAAATTTCAAAATATTCTTTTCAATATCTATATTAATATATAAAAGTTTAATTTTACACCTAATTGATTGACATGTGCCCAATTTCATTATGTGACATGTCCCCAATTTTATCCCATGTGTCAATTTGATTGGTGGAAATGAATATCAAAAAATATGCCATCAATTTCTTTCATTTACATTCCACCTCATGTACATAATTAGGTAGTATTACCATTAATCCAGCTCTCATTAATTATAGAAATGATCATTCAAATCTTACGAATAAGGAAGCCATATGTCCATTTCTTATTCTAATTTATTTTAAATTACGTTCCAAGATTTCAAACAATCATGTCCATATATATTGGTATAGTTAATAAACTCTATTGACTTTTATTTACCATAATATTTTCCGGATTTTTTGTTCCATTTTATTCCTCTCTCTTTTCTTTTCTCCACCGGATTCTTAATCATTTTCAAATAATTTCAAATTAAAAAAGTGTGTCCATATATATTGTTTTTACTTTTTAATGTTATTGATAGCATTACCATATTCAATTTATAGTTTCTTTTTTCATCATGCAAATAGGACTATATAACCTGGTACAATATCATCAATCATCACATTATTCTATTTTATTCAAAATAAATGTATGAGTGAGTGCTTCTTTTCTTTTTGTTACATATCGTTTCATCGTTCTGTTGCTTGAATGTTTTTTTATTTTTATTTTTATTTTTTGTAATAATTATCGTAATTTGTTTTACTGATTTTTTTTTTCAATTTCAATTTTCGATTACATTCATTGACATTTGATTCATAACATGTATTTAATTTCCGATAAGTGTGTCTTTTTGTATTTATAATTAAATAGTAACATTCTGTATTAATTTTGAATTATTTTATCTCACTTTATTTTTATGAACGATGTTTTAAATTTATGTTTACGTGTAATCCTTAAATTTATGTTTACTTGCATATGAACTATATATCAATTGTTCATTTGTTCTTATATTAAATCGGTGTTGGTTTTTGGTTCCATGTTATGATCTATCTATTAAGCCTTGAAGGTTTGGAGAAGATGCTATATTCTCAAAAAAAAATTATTGTTTTATTCTTCCCATTTTATGATCTATCTATTAATTTATTACCCATTATTTCACTAATTAAATATATATATTTTTGTTCATTGTAGGGATATTATCTATTTAGTCACACCAATCAAAGATGTGCTTCTGATTTTATTACACAATTTTTAATTTAATATATATATATATATATATATATATATATATATATATATATATATATATATGTTTATCCTCCCATATCATTTATTAATTTATTACCCATTATTTCACTAATTAATTTATTTTATTTTATTTTATGGATATTATCTATTTATTTGCAGTTGCACCAATCAAAGATGTGCTTTTGATTTTATATTTATTTATGCAATTTTTAATTTAATGTTCATATATGGATATTAT